GGACCTCCCCGAAAAGCCAAAATCCTTCAAAAATCTTAGGGAAATCAGTGATTGTTGCCTTCTCGCCTTCTCGCTTCCGATGCGTTTTTGAGGCGTCAAGGTGGCCCTACGATTGCCCAGGAGAGCTCCAAGAGGGGCCCAAGATGCCCCCAAGACGGCCCCAAGACCGCCCAAGATCGCCCCAAGCGGGTCCCAAGAGCGCCCCAAGGGGCTATTTCGATGGCCCCAGATGGGGGGAAAATCTTGGACCCCCCTCCTTTGATCGATAGTCTCCAAGATGACCCCAGGAGGCGCTCCATAGCTCCCATGAGGGCCCCAAGAGAGCCCCAAGAGAGCCCCAACAGGGCCTCATAAGGGCCCCAAGGCGCCCAAAAAGAACCCCAAGAGGACCCCAAGACCCTCCAACGAGCCCCAAGAGAGCTCCAAGATGCCCCAAAAGAGCTCCAAGAGGACCCCCATATCTTTCAATACAGCCCCGTAGCTCCAAGAATGCCTCCGATGCTCCAAGATAGCCTCGAAGATGGCTTAACCCCCTCCTTTTCTCGCCTCTCCTTGCACGCTCCGTTTCACTATATGTGCCTCTTCGTCCCTTTTCCCGTCCGCTCTCATGGGCAGGGCTTCCGAATGGGCTGGTGGGGATTCGCGAAAGTTAAATAATTCCTCACCGTGAGCGATCTGCAACCTCCGCTGTGCAGAATGACCCTTCCCGCCTTGCGGAAAGCTCCCCCACCGAATCACCCGTCTGACTCCTCAGAAACGCTTGCTTATTGTCGATGCCCGCTTTTGTACATGCCCATTGGAACGAGAGCCAGCCTCTCACTGGGTCTTCAATGCGTAGGCGCCATGTGCCTTCTGCCGTTCTTGTCGACTCGAGCGCAATAAAAGTTGTGCCTCCCCTCCGCGTGCGCAAGAGAAGGGCGGTGCAGCTCAGAAGTGGGAGCTGGCGGTCAAGGCTTAAGTCGGGCCTGTCCCCCTACAGGCCGATTTTGAACGAAAAATGAAAAATACCCCAAACATACCAGAAAAAATGCTCAAAAATGGTCAGAACAATGTCCCCAGACTATTTTTTGACTATTGTCAAATATTCCCCCTGTAGAGGGACAGGCCCGACTCAAGTCAAGGCATGGGCGGCTTGCTGAAGGCATCCGCGCTCGCGCACGCTCCACGTGTTGCTCGCGCGCTGCGGGCCGCCGCCGGGCTCCCTCCCAGTTAGAAGAGCCCAGTGCCTGCCCCCTCCACGCTGCAGGGCTGCGGGCCCGGAGAAGCCGTGCGGCTCTGCTGCTGCTGCTGCTGCACTAATAATAAAAAAAACGCAATAAATAAGAAGAACATGCCCTTCCGCTCGCTCTGCGCGCTCACCCTCCAGTACCTGCGCCGCCGCCGCCGCCAAACACGCTGGTGCCTGCTGCTGGTGCCTGCTGCCGCCGCCCGGCCTCTGCCCGCTGCAGCCGCGGCCGGCCGCCGCTGCTGCCGCCGATGCCGCTGCCGACGCGGCTGCCGCTGCAGACGCTGCAGCGGCTGCGGCTGCGCCAACGGGGCCTGCTGAGCTCCAGTCGGGGGTCCGCCCGGGGCATCGCCGCACGGCCCTCAGTCGCACAGGTCGTGCGCCCATGTTCGGATTTGTCCCAGCCATGCTGTGGTGTTGGGTCCTCGTTTTGAAAAGACAGCCCCCCTCGTTCCGTCCTTCCTTCCTCTCCTCCTCCTCCTCCTCCTCCTCCTCCTCCTCCTCCTCCTCCTTCGCCTCCTCTCGCTCCTCCCTCCATCCTCCATCATCATACTCATCAGCATCACCATCACCATCACCATCGTAATCAGCATCATCAGCATCATCATCATCATCATCATCATCATCATCATCATCATCATCATCATCATCATCATCATCATCAGCATCAGCATCAGCATCAGCATCATCAGCATCAGCAGCAGCATCAGCAGCAGCAGCAGCATCAGCATCAGCATCAGCATCAGCAACATCATCAGCTGCATCATCATCATCTTTATCATTGCCATCATCATCCCATGCGTCCGTGCCATCCATTTCGGCACCTCCCTCACACGGTTCATGGCCCCATAGGGAGCTCCACCGAAGGCCCCAGTGACAGGAGCCGCATGCACCCGACGACAATGTTGGCGCACTCCTCACACTGTGCGTGGCCCCATAGAGAGCTCCACCGAGGGCCCCAACAATGTCCGCATACGCTCGACGCCAATTTCACCACACCCCTCACCCGGTTCGTGACCCCAATAGGGAGCTCCACCGAAGGCCCCAGCGGCAGGGACCGCATGCGCCTGACGCCCATTTCGGCACACCTCTCACACGGTTCGTGGCCCCAAGCTCCACCGAAGGCCCCAGTGGCAGGGTCCGCATGCGCCCGACGACCATTTCGGCACACCCCTCACACGGTTCGTGGCCCCATAGGGAGCTCCACCGAAAGTGGTACCCACAACGCGGTACTCACGACAGCGTATGGTTGGGTCCTTCGCCAAGGTAATTTTCTTTCGTGTGGTGGCAACACGCCCGCACTCCTCTGCATTCTACGTGGGCGGCGGTCCGAAGACGCCTGCTGCGAACCACTGCCGCCCGGTGCCCATTGGAAGCGCGTAATTATGTGGCCAACCAATGGACGAAAGCTGGGCCCAAATCCGCCGACCCTGTCGGCGTGTGTGAGAAATTCTGGGCTCCTAGTGCAAGGACGGTCCTGGGAGACACCTTCCATTGGAAGCTGTGTGTTCCTCCCTCCCAGGTGGCCACCTTTGGCTCTCCAAGCTCGCCAGCCCGAGGTGAACCGAGCCAGGTCGTAATCGAGGTCGTCATGGACTCGAAGGGAAGCCCCATCCCTTCCCCGCCCGGGGTGGGGTCCCGGGTTAGAATACTACCCCTCCCTCCTCCCCGTTCAGGTCATATTCTGGCAAATTTGGTCCTTCTTCGGCAATTCAGGCCCAAGACGGTCCAAGAGGGGCCTGAAACGGACAAAGAGCGCTCCAACACCACCCCAGGTGCCACAAGTCGGCGCAAGAGCACTCCAAGAGGACCCCCACTAGAGCCCCTTAAATGCGATAGAAAACCATACTGCTGGCTTTGTTTCTGGATTTTCGCGTTCTCGCTTGTGATGGCGCCCGACCGCCCCAAGACGGCCCAACAGGTTCCCAAGTCCGCCTCAAAGCAACCCAAAAAGCTCCCAAGAGGGCCCCCAAGAGGGCCGCCAAACAGCCCAAGAAGGCCCCAAGACGGCCCCCAAGAGAGCCCATGAGGCTCACAATGGGCCCCCAAGAGGGGCTCCAGAGGGGAACCCGAACTGCAATTTCGAGCCATTCTAAAGTTAGCCTCCGAGACCGCCGACAGGCCCCCACAGACCTCCAAGAGCTCCCTCTGAGGCTCCCAAGACGGTCCCACGGAGCCCCAAGAGACCTCAGGAATGCATCCAACAGGCGCCTCCCGAGAGGCAGCCCCCGACGAGCCTGTTCGAGTCCGAGATCATCCTGGGGCCTTCTTATGGATGCCCCCCTACAGGGTCGAAGCAGCTGGCCGTAAGGCATCTCCAATGTTTGACTATGTGATCCTCGAGCCGTTGTGGAAATCCTTGGGAAACACATGAGGGGAAGTTCGGAACTTTATGTTCGCAGTCCCACCTGCCTAGAGGAAGAGAAAACGGCGTGTAGTTGGCCTCGAAAAGGTTCTGGTGGCATTTATTTGGTTTCGAAGATCGGCGGCGGCGGCCAGGGCACAACATTGCGACGCTCACAGTCGCGCAGGCCTTCTCACGCCATGCGGCCGTCCCACGCGGCTGTCACAATCGAAATGAGTTCGGGCTCGAGCGCTCCTCCACGCGCGCAGCGAAACTCGCGCCGCATCTCGACGAGACCGGTTCTCGCCCGAGGGCCAGGCTTTGCCGGGCTTTGCCAGCCAGCGCGGCGCCGAAGGGCACGCCGCCGAACAACGCTTAGACGCTGGAGAACACGAACAGCACAACCGCTTAGTTCGCAAAGTGGCACGCGAAGACTCTCGACCCCAAGGCGGCCGATTGGCCATTCTGCTCTAAGAGCGAGAAGGTCCAGGCGCAGAAGTTCGAGTGCGTTGTTGTGTCCAATGCTTCAGGTCAGCACGCGCTTGGACTTCTGCCCATCAACTTCAAGAAACGCAATGCGGCGACCAATGCGCTGTCCAAGTTTATGGCCGACAGCGTCTGGTAGCCAACCGCTCCAGGCTTCGACTATCGGGCCAGACACGAGTTCAGCGGGCCCCCTCTCGCGGCCGTCGTTTTTGCCCTCACGAACCAAAAAAGCCACGCGACCGCTGCCTGCGAGTCCGGATCTGCCGGCATAACCCTCCGCGGGCATTTGCTTCGCACCGGGCGTCTGGGGCGTCGTCGGTCTCTTGGAGGCCAGCGCGAAGCGGCCAGGCTCTGCCGGCGTCGACCGCAAAGCGTTTGAATTCACAAGGAAGTTTCTCAGCAACAGCGCCGCAGGGCAAGCGACCAAGGCAGGCAGCATCTATAGTGTGGCAGATGCTGAGCTCACAAACTCCAGCGGGGGGCAAGATTGCGGTTAGTGTCTGGCGAGATGTCCACTCAGATTTCCGAGACTTGCCTGTTGAAGCCGGAGTCGCTGCGTGGAGCGCGGCGAGGTGAAACTTCTGCGGCCTGGGAATCACGTCTGCATAACGGGTGAGCAGGCCCAGTCTCTCGCGAGTCTCGACGTTTCGAACGCAGAAGGCGAAGTGCTGACGGCAATCTGAATGCCAGGCCGAAGCTTACTCGCAGAGGGAGATGTAGAAGCTCGCCCGACTTGCGCCGCGGCTTTGGCCGATGCTGTAGCCAAGCCTAGCTCCGTCACATTTCAAATCAACAAGTGCCTCTTGGACGCGCCGCTGCGGCAAGACTTCATGCGCGCGCAGGACGACCGCCTTTTCGTGAAGAGCTGCCGGTTTCGGGATGACACTGGGGGCGTGGACGTGGACGTTCTTGGCTGTGCTGCTCTTCCGCAGTATGGATCCAGCACGTCCGAAGAGGTAGGTTCGCAGCTCAGCACCAGTCTCTGACAGGCGCGAAGGAGCGGTTCAACGTTCGCGGGGTTCTCTGGAACGAGACTGGTTTCACGAAGAGGTGCATTGTGGAGGTAGGCGCGGCGCCTCTCACTGGATGTCGTGCTTCCCGTGCCAGTGGGCCGCGTGGCTAATGACCCCTTTTATTGGGCTTGGCACTCCAAGGGGCTAATCAAAGCATCATCGACGCCAACCGAATACTCCTGCTAGTGCTCGGCACGAGCACAACGAACCCGGAGCCGCTGAGCGAGGAGAAGAAACTGGCCGAGCAGACGTACAAAGTGTTCTTTACAGTCGCGGTATGCCTTTTGAGCGACCCACCTGCGACTCTGCATTTGGTGGGCTATTGTGACTTCAGTGGGATGCTCACGTACCGCTTGGACAAAGAATGCGCTCTCGTTCCCGCATCGGCCGTCACATACAAGATGCCAGGCTCTGCCAGCGGAGAGGACCCGACTGCTACAATCGAGCACCTGACGAAGTTGTCCAAGGACGAAGTGGCCTCGCTGACGCGCGCTCTGGCGGTGGAGAGGCAAGCAATCCTAACGAATCCGCCAGCTGGCTTTGCGGACACGCCCAAGCCTGCGCCGTCGCTCAGAAACATTACTAAGGAGTGAGTATTGGTCCGAGGGCCGCGCGCGGAAAGTTCGCCGCTTTGCGTCGGAGCCACTCTCACCCCTTGCGTCCACCGGTGCGCTCGCTGCTTTGCGGGACTCGATCCAGGCGAGTCGTGTTATTGCCAGTGCCAGGCTCTGCCAGCGCAGTTTCGCATTGGGGCGACCTGGTGGTGTTCCTAGCGTTTCTGTTATGTATTGCCGCTGCAACCCAGTGTTTGGCAATGCTGGTTTCCGACGGCGCCAGTCTGTGGCACGGCGAGCGCAGAGGAGCCTCACCTTCGAACAAGCAGTGTCAAAACGTCGCGTATAGCACCGCGGTCGTTTCTCAAGTACTTCGTCAATGCCCTATTCTTACCATCAGCATCGTCAGTGCCCCATTCGTTATTGCGGCCATTATGTATTCTCACGATGAGCGTCATCGTACATCGCCAGTGGCCTGTCGCCATCAAACTCATCGCAGTTGTCGTCAGTCGGTTTTCCCTCCCCCACCCACACCAACCTCCTTATCACTCGAAGTGTGATAGGTCGGAGGTGAGGGGGTGAGATCGAAGTGGAACGGAGAGCCCCCCTACCGGGAAATCGATTTCGGTTTCGTGTTCGTGCGTGCCGTGCGGGCGAGGCGAAGCTGCGTGGGCGGGCGAGAGAAAGTCTCCTGTGGCTGAGGCGCGGCCGGACCAAATGTCTCCCTTCCGGGCGGCCGGGGCCCGCGGTGTCCCGCCGGTGTCCCGCTGGTGTCCCGTGTGGCTGAGGCGCGGCCGGACCAAATGAACTCCCTTCCGGGCGGCCGGGGGCCCCGCGGTGTCCCGCCGGGTCCCGCGGTGTCCCGCGTGTCCCGCGGTGTCCCGCGTGTCCCGCGTGTCCCGCGGTGTCCCGCTGTGTCCCGCGGTGTGATGATGATGATGATGATGATGATGATGATGATGATGATGATGATGATGATGATGAGATGATGATGATGATGATGATGATGGTGTCCCGATGAAGATGATGATGATGTTGATGATGGTGTCGATGATAATGATAGCGTCCCGATGATGAGGATGATGATGCTCATGCTGATTTTGTTGATGATGATGACGATGATGGTGTCCCGATGATGATGATGATGATGATGATGATGATGATGATGATGATGATTCCGATGATGTTGGTGATGATGATGTTGATGGAAATGGTGTCCCGGCGATAATGATGTTGATGATGATGTTGATGATGATTATGGTGTCCCGATGATGATGCTGATGATGATGATGATGATGGTGGTGATGATGATGGTGATGCTGATGGTGTCCCGATAATGATAATAATGATAATGACGATGTTGATGATGATGATGATGTTGCTCATGATGATGGTGCCACAATGATGATGATGATGATGCTGTTGATGATGATGATGCCGATGATGATGATGCGATGATCATAATGAGGATGGTGTCCCGAGGATGATGACGATGTTGATGATAATGTTGATGATGAGAACGATGGTGATCATGATGGTGTCCCGATTATGATGGTGATTCGGATGATGCTGCTGATGATGATGACGATGACTGTGTCCCGATGATGATGATGATGTTGATGATGAGATGATGATGGTGATGATGATGCTGATGATGTTGCCCCGATGATGATGCTGACGTTGATGATGATGATGATGATGATGATGATGATGATGATGATGATGACGGTGCCCTCATGATGATGACGATGTTGGTGATGATGTTGATGATGTTGATGATGATGCTGATGATGATGATGACGTTGATTGTGAGAGCGATTGTGATATCGATAGTGAGATCGATATTGAGACCGAATGTGAGATCGATTGTGTGATCGATTGTGAGATCGATTGTGAGATCAATTGTGAGATCGATCGAATGAGATAGATCGAGTGAGATCGATTGTGGGATCGATCGGGTGAGATCGATCGAGTGAGATCGATCGAGCGAGACCGATAGTGAGATCGATACTGAGATCGATAGTGAGACCGATCGAGTGAGACGTTGGTTCCCCCCCCCCGAACCTCCTTATCACCCGAAGGTTGGTCGTATAGGTACATCGTATATTCCATATCCACCGCCTATGTCGAGGTCTCCTACATCCCCGCCTCGGACAGGACGAGCAGCCGCGCGATGCCCGGCCCGCGCCCCCTCCTTCGGGTATTTTGTACACCTCCCCGCTGCTCAGCTCCACGCGCTCCCGCACGAGCGCCCCGGCCCTGCCGACCACCTCGCCGCGGGGGCGCAGGGGGGGCCCCAGGGGCACCCAGACACGACCGCGTCGCAGGAGACCACGGCGGGAGGCTTTTGGCCGTGCCCGGCCTCCAGGGGCCCTCGCCGGGCACAGGGGCTCCCAGACATGACCGCGTCGTAAGAGATCACGGCGGGAGGCGTTTGGCCGCTCTCGGCCTCCGGGGGCCCTCGCTGGGCCGCAGGACCGTCAAGAAACGGCTCTCCAGGAAGCGCTGGCCCCCAGGAAAGGTTCGGGAGTTCCGGGGGCCGCGTCTTGCCAGGGCGTCGCATGTCTAGGTCTGGAGGCGTGCACTTTGGCACCAACACCAACACGTTGAGGGGTCTCTCCACCGAGGGAAAACTAGATTATGGCGTTGGGTGTTATTACATATATATATCTGTATATATATATATATATATATATATATACATCAGACGCCCCAATCTTAATACCATCGCCGAGGTCGGGATCCTCTTCCCTTGGTGGAGACAGCCCGCCGATGTTGGTGCTGGTGTCAACCTCTAGAAGAGGCCTCCCAGATAGGATCCGAGAAGATGGGGTCGGAGGATCGCGCCGCATCGGCGACACATCGGCGATATATCGGCGATGCATCGGCGATGCATCGGCGCCGTCGGCGTGGAGAAAACCCGGCTACACAGCGACGTCGGCGTGGAGAAAATTGGGCTACACGTCGAGCCGCAGCGGCCATGCATCGGCGATGCATCGCCGATGCGGCGCGATCCTCCGACCCACTCTACTAACTATGACCCCATCTGGGAGGCCTAGATCTAGGTCGGGCGTGTCCCCCTACAGGCGGATGTTCGACGAAAATCAAAAAATACCCAACAAATACTCGAACATAGCCAAAAATAGTCGACAGATCGTCCCCAGACGATTTTCTGACTGTCTTTGAATATCTCGCCTGCAGGGGGACAGGCCCGACTTGAGCCCGGATCCAGGCCTCCGATGGATCGCACAGCGGCAGGTCGCAGCCCGATCGCGGCCCTGTAAGCCCTCGCAGCCGCTGCAGCCCCCGAAGCTTAAGTCGGGCCTGTCCCCCTACGGGAGGAATTTTCCAAAAATAATCCAAAAACAATCCAGGTACGTTTTTGTTTCTAGACTATGTTTGACCATCTGGGAATATGATTTGAGCATTTTTATTATGGTCGCCCAGAAGCCCCCTATAGGAGGACAGGCCCGACTTAACTGCAGCCCCTTGCCGTCGCTCGGACGTCCATTTCCCGTGCATTTTTCGGTTCCGTGCGTGCTTTTTGTTTCCTCGATGGTCCAGCATGGTCCTCGATGGTCCTCGCCGAGACAAAACGCACACGTCCGAGCGATGCCAAGGCCCCCGAAGCTGTTGGTGCGCGCGGCGCGCCGCGGCGGGGCGGCCTGTCGCCCACCCCTTGGCGGGCGCCGGGCCGTGGCTCTCCCCCTGGCTGCGAGAGGCTCGGGCCGTCGACGCTCGGGGGCCGGGCCGCGGTTGGGCTGCCAGTCGGGCCTGTGCTCCTGCAGGGTGCTTTTGGGGGGGGAAACTGTTTTTCCCCCAGGGCAACCCCGCAAGGCTGCGCAACAGCGTGAAACGGAGCAGCGGAAGGCGGCCGTTGACTCGCACCTGCCCGCGTGCAAACGGGCCCTGAAACAACAACAAAAAAGAAGCACGACGTATTGAACGAGAGGAAGATCCGCTGCCCCTCAAGGGGGCTATCCCGCCCAAACACCAACCGCGCAAAATCCTGTCGTCCTCGCCGGCGGGGTGACACCGAACGCACGGTCCGTAAAGGCAGACATGACCCATGCGCAAAACCAGTGCAGGCTGAAGGCTGTAACGCAATGATTTTGGGCGAAAAATAAAAGTGCTCATAAAATACAACCGAAAATATGATCAAGAAACTGGGCCAGCTTCCCGGAAGCTTCTTAGGACCAAGCTGGGCAGAGTTCTTTTGTCCGCGCTGGAGGGGCGAACGTGTTCACGAAACCAGGCCAGCTTTCTGGCAAGTTGGGTGAGAAACGCTGGCCCAGCTTTTCGGGAGGAGGTTTCTTAATCAGATGCTCGACTGTACCCCCAGCTTGTCAGAAATAGTAACAAAAAATCGTCCCCGGACAGTTTTTTTGCCTATGTTTGAATATTCCTCTTGTAGGGGGACAGGCCCGACTTGAGCCTAGGAGGCCAACTGTGAACCCTAGCCCCACCCACCAGGACACTTCTGAGGGGGGGGTAGGGGGTTCCCTCTGCTCAGGAGCTCCCGAACGGAGTGAACCCCACCCCCCCCTAGAAATCGTGGGGGGTGGGGAGAGGGTTGGAGTGTCGCGCCAGATCGCGGTTGGCCAGTTCCCAGACGGCGCCAGCGCGAATCGGGACGATCCTGGCCCCCCCGCCTCGCCGCCCTCCCCCGCCCCCGCACTGGGCGTCATCGCCAGGGGGTAAAAGAACGGGCCACGGTGGAGAGGCACGCTCAGCAGAAGTTCCCGACCGTCGGTGGGCCCATCAAGCACATCAGTTTGGCGCCGATCACTGCTTCGATCTACACTCGTGGCATGGGGGAAGACGGACGCTGAGGTAAGCGTGCTCTGGACCCTGGGGCGTCCCCGGGGGCCCTCTCTTGCGTCCTGGGCCGTTGTGTGACGGCCCAGGAGCCCAGGAGGGGCCCGAAAAAGCCAGAAACTGCAAAATACTCTGGACCATCTCCCCGAAGACCGCCCTGGTTCCTTGCGGTCCACAGGGCCGCGGAAGCCGCCACGACAACGCGCTGAGCCAAGGACTCGGGGTGCGAGCAGAGCCCGCAACGGCACTGCATTATTCGCCCAACGTCCCTCAAGGCGCACGGTGGGATCAGGGACAACTTCACAAGCAGTACCTTCTCCTCCTTCTCCTCCTCCCTCCCACCCTCCCTCCTTTCGTCCCCCCCGTCTTCCTTCCTCCCCCCCCCCCCCCCATTGTCTTCTCTCCTCCCACACTCCACCTCCACCTCAACCTCCACCTTCGCCTCCTCCTCCTTGTGTTTCTCCTCCTGCTCCTTCCCCTCCACCACCTCCACCTCCTCCTCCTCCTCCTCGTCCTCCTCCCTCCCGCCCTCCCTCCCTCTCTTTCTTCCTCTTACCTCACCCTCCCTTGCCCCGCCTCCCCCTCCTCCTCCTCCTCCTCCCCCTCCTCCTCCCCTCCTCCTCCTCCTCCTCCTCCCTCCTCCTCCTCCTCCTCCTCTTCCTCCTCCACCGCCTCCTCTTTTCCTCCTCCCCCCCCTCCTCCTCCTCCTCCTCCTCCTCCTCCTCCTCCTCCTCCTCCACTTGCTCCCGCGGTGTTGCCCCCCGAGGGCGCCAGGAAACGGTGGGGCAGGTCGCCAGGCGGCGGCGCAGGCTGAGCCGGGGCCGCCCCCGCGGCGGGGCGCCCTGTCGCGCCCAGACGACGGCGACGGCGACGGCAACAACGACGACGGCGACGACGACGGCGACGCCAACGGCGACGACGACGACGACGACGATGCCGACAACGACGACGACGACGACGACGACGACGACGGCGGCGGCGGCGGCGACGGCGACGACGACGGCGACGGCGAGGGCGACGACGGCGACGGCGGCGCCGACGGCGACGACGGCGGCGACGGCAATGGCGACGACCACAGCGACGGCGACGGCGACGACCACAGCGACGGCGACGGCGACGACCACGGCGACGGCGACGGCGACGGCGACGACAACGACGACGACGACGCCGACGCCGACGGCGACGGCGACGACCACGGCGACGGCGACGGCGACGGCGACGGCACTGACGACGACGACGGCGACGCCGACAGCGACAACGAGGCAACGACGAGAGACAACGACACGACGACGACGACGACGACGACGACGACGACGACGACGACGACGACGACGATGGCGACGGCGTCGGCGTCGCGACGACAACGCGACGGCGACGGCAACGGCGACGACCACGGCGACGGCGACGGCGACGGCGACGACCACAGCGACGGCGACGGCGACGCCGACGGCGACGGCGACGACCACGGCAACGGCGACGGCGGCGGCCACGGCGACGGCGACGGCGACGGCGACGACAACGACGACGACGACGCCGACGCCGACGCCGACGCGACGACCACGGCGACGGCGAACCGACGCGACGGCGACGACCACGGCGACGGCGACGGCGACGACCACGGCGTCGGCGACGGCGATAGCGACGACCACGGCGACGGCGACGGCGACGGCGACGCGACGGCACTGACGACGACGACGGCGACGCCGACAGCGGCGACGATGACAACGACGATGCCGACAACGACGACGGCGACGACGACGATGACGACGGCGACGGCGACGGCGACGACCACGGCGACGGCGACGACGACGACGACGACGATGACGACGGCGACGGCGATGGCGTCGGCGTCGGCGACGGCAACGGCGACGGCGACGGCAACGGCGACGACCACGGCGACGGCGACGGCGACGGCAAAAGCAACGACGCCGACGACGGCGGCGACGGCGGCGGCGACGGCGACGACTACGGCGACGCCGAAGGCGACGACCACGGCGACGGCGACGGCAACGACCACGGTAACGGCGATGGCGACGGCGACGACGACGGCGACGACGACGACGATGCCGACGGCGACGGCGACGGCAACGACGGCGACGGCGACGACGACGGCGGCGCCGACGGCGACGGCTTCGGTGACGACGAAGGCGACGGCGACGACCAGTCACGGCGACGACGACGGCGACGGCGACGACGACGACGACCACGGCAACAGCGACGACGACGCCGACGAACGGCGACGACGGCGTCGGCGACGACAAGAATGCCGACGACGACGGCGATGACGGCGACGGCGACGGCGACGACGACGATTCCGACGACGACGACGACAATGGCGACGACGAAGGCGACGGCGACGGCGCCGGCGACGGCAACGACGACGACGACGACAGCGACGGCGACGGCGACGACGGCGACGGCGACGACAACGACGGCGCCGACGACGACGGCGACGGCGACGACGGCGGCGACGGCGACGACGGCGGCGACGGCAACGATGACGGCGACGACGACGGCGACGCCGACGACTACGACGATGCCGACGACGACGACGAAGTCGGCGACGGCGACGGCGAAGACCACGGCGACGGCGACGGCGACGCCGACGACGACAATGTCGACGACGACAACGTCGACGACGAGAACAGCAACGTTGACGGCGACGGTGACGACCACGGTGACGGCGACGGCGACGGCGACGACGACGACGACGGCGACGGCGACGGCGACGGCAACCAGGACGACGGCGACGACGACGACGACGACGACGACGACGACAACAACGGCGGCGGCGGCGGTGGCGAAGGCGACGGCGACGGCGACGACGACGACGGAGGCGGCGGCGACGACGACGACAACGACGACGACGGCAAAAACGACGACGGCGTCGACGGCGACGGAGGCGGCAGCGACGACGTCGACGGCGACGGCGACGACGACGACGGCCACGGCACGGCGTCGACGTCGACGTCGACGCGACGTCGACGGCGACGAGGGGGAGAGCGGGGGGCGGTGGGGGGGTGGGGAAGGAGAGCGGGGGGGGAAGGGAACGGGGGACGGCGGGGGGGGGAGGGGAAGAGCGGGGGTGGTGGTGGGGGGTGGGATGGGGGGGGGAGGTGAACGGGAGAGGGGGGAAGGGAGCTTCGGAAAGGGGCGAGGGGCAGAGGGAAGGAGGCATGGGGCCAGGGGGGGGGGGGCGCAAAGAAGAGGGGCAAGGGAGCTGGACGGGGAGGGAGCGGAAGGCGCGAGGTGGGCGGAGAGGGAGCGGAGCGGGGGGAGGCCGAGGACCAGGAGACGGGGGTGAAGGTTAAGGAGAAGAGGAGCATCGCGGAGGGCTTGACGACTCTTCGCCAGTCGATCTGTGGGATGTCAAACCAGATGACCAAGGCAAGTGCGCACGAATCGAGGCAAACCCAGGCACATCCACATACATCAGGGTAAAGCCAGAATTCCCCAAGGCAGCTTGGAGCACATCGTGGCCGTCCCACCGCGAATCGAGGGACAGCAGAAGTCGTCAAACCATTAATTCGGCGGTGGGCAAACCTCCCTTTAGCAAACCTCCCTTTAGTTTTAAAACGGCCTAGGACCGAAACCGACGGACCTGGACCCACAAAAATGACGGCCGCGACGCCCTCTCGCGAACCGAACACGGCCAATTCGCTGATCGACGTGTCAGGGTGGGATGCCTATCAACCTCCGATTCATGAGGGAAGAGGGCACAGGAAGAGCGGAGGAAGAAAGGGGCATTGGAGTGCGGGGGGGCGGAGGCCAACAGGGACCCCGTGAGGACTGGTGGGGAGAGGGACGGAGCGCCAGGAGGACAAGAAAGGAGAGCGACGAGGAGAGGGCGAGGAGGGAGGATATCCCCCGAGCCACCTGCGGTCCAACATCTACCCATGGCACGCAATGAAGCGGACGCTCGCGCATGAAGGGTGTGCTGGGCGCGGAAGGGAGGAACGAAGTCTCAATCCCCGCAGAGCGAGGAAACGGGCGGGACGAAGCAAGGTAGCGGTCTCCACCCCAGGTCGGTGGAGACCGTTACCCCTCCAGGCCCCGCCCGTAGACGAGCCGAAGCGCCTCGAACCACCCGGCTCCCCGCGCGCGCCCGCGCGTCCCGTTTGCCCCGGCGCCCCTGCTACAGGCCGCGCGCGCGGCCCAGCGCCGCCTGCCCCCACAGCCCGCTCCAGCCCGCCCGCGCGGCGCTCCGGCGCCTCTGGGCCCCTGGCCGAGGAACGCCAGACGGGAGCCCCGGCACAGCGGGCCACTCCTGCTCCAGGGCGGCGGCCCCGCGCTCCTCTTCCTCCTCCTCGGGTTAGGTCGGGCATGTCCCCTCCAGGCGGACTTGGGGCGACAAATCTTAAAATGCCGAAGAAATAGAAAAATAGCCAAAACACATGCAAAAATTGCTCAAAACTATGTTTGACTATTTGGAGTATTCCCCTCGGGCTCGCGCGTCCGCAGCGGGTGCACCGCGGCAGGAGAGAGGGTGCGGCCTCGGGGCCCTCGGGCAGGCAGCGGCGCACCCGGCCCACCAGGCGCCGCTGCAGCTCCACCGAAGTTGAAGGGGCCCAGGGACGCACAAATAAAGAGACACAAGTAACCGGATTTCCCTTTTTTCCAATATTTTCTGGGTTTTCGTCTTGCCCCCCTCTTCCCATACTTACCCATCTTTTCCTTGGGGTCCGCGATTCATTGTGTCTGTGTGTTTTTCCCTTCCTGAGACATGGCGGCGCGCGTGCGCTGCAGCAGCGGCCGCCGATCCAGGATCCCCTGGCGCCGCGCCGCTGCCCGAGCGCGGTTCTGCAGCTTGTCTTGGACCTCTACGTGGGCCCGCCCGTAGCTGCTCCACACCATCAGCCGGTAGACGACGCCGCGCTGCCGCAGCTCTGCGGCGAACGGCGCGTAGTTGTCGCGCTTGCGGCGGGCCATCGCCGCGCAGCAGTCGGGCCCAGCGCCAGCGGCCTCTGGCGAACACACTCCGATCTCCAACGCTGCGAGGCTGCCGGTGGCAGCCGACGTAAGGATGTCAGCTGGACGCAGCGATGGACGGGAGGGTATCAAACCCAGAGCTTCGGGGGAAGCTTCGGCGTCGCCGTGGGCAGCCAGCAAATGCACGCGATGTCGCACGCAATAGTGGCCTCGGGTGGCTTCGGCCCGGGCGCAGGTCTGCGGGCAGATGCCGCGCTGCTCCAGAGCCTCCCCGCACAGATGCCACCCCGCGCCGTCGGGCAGGAAGGGCACCCCGAGGCGGAGCAGCAGAGAGCGCATCGGGACTGAGCGCCGGGTCGTGCGCCGGGTGGAGGCGGTTCATCCACGAGTGGTCGGTGGACGGGCCCCTCCGCTCCGCGATGCGGCGGAGCCCTGACCAGTCGGCCCCCGCCCGCAGAGTCGCGCCGAGCACATCGAGTCGCCCCTCCCCGAGCAAAGAGGGACAGCACGCCCTGGAGGCCGCTGGAGCGGCGGCTGGCGCGCCGCGCCCCGAGCGAACCGCAGGGACCCGCGCCGCAGCCTCGCCCTCGGATCAGGGGCGACGACAGCTGGCGAAGAGCCCAGAGGGGGAGCAATACACGCATCCCGGGGGCGCCGATGATCGACGTCTTCGACGAAGGCTCCCGGGCGAGTGCGTGCACTGCCCGCCCCAGGGCTACATTCGCCCTCGTCGTCGCCGCCGATCGGCCTGCGCGATGGCGGCGTCGACCCTCGCGCGGCGGACGTCACCCACCTGGGAGAGCAGCGTGCGGCGCGCGGCGCTCCGAGCGTCGGCGCAGTCCGCGAGGACAGCGCGGAGGTCCCCCACAGTCTCCGCGGGCCCCCTCCAGCAGAGAGCGGGCCGTCGGACGGGCCTCGGCACGTGGCTACCCACCAGGCCACCCCAACCCAACCCGAAGGCCCGAATTTCGGGCTGGGGGGGGGTACAGTCGGACTTGATTGGAGAGGACGCGCGAGAGGACACAGGACCCTTCCGAGGGCCACGTTGCCACAGGAATGCAGGTGGCATGGGTCGCAAGACACAGGACACGAGGGTACCCTTGATCTGGCAGGGTCGACCTACTAATCAGGGCCGCCTGTACGGGCTCCATATGTGTTCTTTCAGTGTTCCCGGACACCCCCCCCCACACTGGAAATGGAGGGCAAATTTAAGCCTTCGGGTTGGGTCGGGGTGATTTGGTGGGTGGTGAGCACGAGCAGCCACAAAGGCAGCGGAAGCCAGCTCAGCCGCCGAAGCCAGGCCGACACCGGCCTGCCGCGTGGGCAGCCCAGCCTGCAAGCGGCAGCGCGGCGGGACATCGCACGCAAAGATCAGCCTGAGCGCCGCCGTCACGGTGTCATCGGAATCCGCCAGGGCCTCGGCGGAGACTTCGGGACCGACCGACCGCAGCAGATGCGTGATCTTGCACACACCCGCGCAAGACGTGCGTCCTCGAGGTCAGGGAAATGGTCGTAGACGGTGGCCAGCTTGCGACAGGCCTGCCGGAACTGCTCCGCCATGGCGGCGGGCGCCTCGTCACGCGCGTCGGCATCCACGCCCAGCTCGTGTGTCAGGTGGACAACGCCGTCCGCCGGCGTCACACACGTGTCCGCCACGTAGGGGGTGATCCACCCCCGCGGCGTCGGTGTGGCAGCAGTGCCCACACGCGCGCGACAGTCTTGACCCCGGGCCCCCTGCCACGCGTAGCTCCCCCTGCAACGCGTAGCTCCCACGCGTAGCTCCCCGTCCCCTGCCACGCGTAGCTGCCACGCGTACCTCCAACGGGAAGGGAAAAAACAGGGGAGGAAGCGGCGGGCAGGAGAGGAAGCGGGAGGGGGACGGGGCCGGGGAAGCCCCGAGCACCACCACCCCACCCCCTTGCACTCAAATGTGCCAGGCGCCCCTCCTCCTCCTCCTCCTCCTCCCCCTCATCCTCCTCCTTCCTCCTCGTCCTCCTCCTCCTCCTCCTCCTCCTCCAGCTCTTCTTATTATTCTTCTTCTTCTTCCTCCTCTTCCTCCTCCTCCTCCTCCTCCTCCTTCTCCCCCTCCTCCTCAATCCTCCATCCACCATCCTCCGTCCTCCATCCTTCAGCTTCCATACTCCATCCTCCGCATCCTCTTCCTTCTGCTCCTCCTCCTTCTGCTCCTCCTCCTCCTCCTCCTCCTCTTCCTCCTCCTCCTCCTCTTCCTCCTCCTCCTCATCCTCCTCCGCCTCTTCCTCCCCTCGTCCTTAGACAAAGCTCCTCCCTGCCGAAGCACCAGACGTGCCCGTGTGTGCGGTATGGACATTCCCCAATCAGAGCTTGCCTCTGTAGGGGTCCTAGCGGATTCATATGGTTAGGTTAGGTTTGTCGCCGATGTTCGCTGCCCGGGTGCCCAGGGGTGCCCGGGGGTGCCCTATAGCCCTATAGCCCTATAGCCCTATAGCCATATAGCCCTATATCCCTATAGCAAAATAGCCCTATAGCCCTACAACTCTATAGCCCTATAGCTCTATAGCCCTATAGCTCAATAGCCCTATAGCCCTATAGCCCCCTAGCCCTATAGCCCTGATTGGGTTTTTTCTTCGATATCATTTATTTCACTTGACACATCTTTGCAATTGACCGTTTAGAAACTTGAAAGTGTCAACAGTTATACCCCGATAGAGGGCTGGCCGGTTTTAAAATGTTGTGATCGCTCCAGGACCACAAAGATCCGTCTGAAAAGGTGATTCCAATATTACACGGGTGGGGACCAACGCGCTTTCAAACATTTGAGTCTCGCATGAGACCCTTCGACGCATACTGCCGCACGTGAAGGTTGTGCAACAGCTGCACTGGTGGAGGGAGGCTCCTCTTCAAGACGGGGCGTTTGCCTGAATCCTCGCCTGAATTTGCCACGAGAGATCTGGACGTGTTATGGAGGACGACGATGAGAAGGAGGAAAAAGAGGAAGAGGAGGAGGAGGAGGCACAATGGCTGCATGGACGGGTATGGATGCGGGCTGGTGCCTTCGCAAAAAGCGGGGCCGCCGCTGGGCCACTCCTGGGACCTCACGCCCCACAGCGTCGCATTCCTTTGAAGGGGCCCAAGGGCACACACCCACATAAATACACAAAAGCCCCAGGAGTCCTCACATGTTCTCCGCTTTCGTCTTTCCCCCCCCCACACACTTCCCATATGTTCCCATATGTTCCTGGGAGTCGACGATGAGTCGTGTCTGTGTGTGCTTTTCCCCTCCTGATCCTTAGGGCTCGAGGTGTGGAGGGCGAGCTCCTTCAGAACGGAGCTCCCGCCTGAACAGCGGGCCCGTGGCGCTCGTCCTTCAAGGGGCGGGGAGGGGGCCTCCGCGGTGGAGAAGAATGCTTGCAGAAACGGATGAGGAGGGATCTCTGGGCGAGACTGAATGAACCGCAGCCGAACTGCTACTTAGTGGGTTTACACTGGTCCTCCTCCTTCTCCTCCAGCTCCCTCCTGACCCTTCTCATCCCCCTTGTTCTCCTCATCCTCCTCCTCCCCCCATCCTCCTCCTCCTCATCTTCTTCATCATCCTCCTTCTCCTCCTCCTCCTCTTCCTCCTCACTCTGGTTTCTCCTCATCCGCCAAATCCTCCTCATGCTGTCGTCATCACCCTCACCACCAAATAAGCACAGTCATGCTCCATTGTATCATTCCCAACATCACGACCACCACAAGCAACATCAACAGCAGCAGCAGCATCAGCATTAGCATCAGCATATGCTGTACCATCTTTCTCACCATCACCATAATCATACATCCGCCCAATGTGCCTACAGTTCTGACGCCATGCTTCGACCACGTAGTGTAATGTCCCAGTATATACTTATCGAGGACATCTACCCCCTGACAAACAAACACAACTCAACGGAATGCAATCCGATGCAAGTGCAACTGCGGCGCTACGCAACGCAAGGCAGTTCCAGGCAGCTCAGAAGAAATGCGCTACAATGCGATGCAACATATAACCATACGAAGCAAAGCTGAAAAAACTCAAGTCAGTGCAAGATCGCTCGACAATTAAAAGAAGGAGAACACATCAGTTCAAAACGGGGCAAGGGACAATTGAGCGACAGAGCTTCTACACTGTAACCCGCAAGGCCTGAGGTTACCATAACTTCGGACTACCCTCAGTCTTAAACAATAGGCTGCTTGCAGCTGGCCTCCCAATGGAAAGCTGCTTTGTGCGAAGGAGTCAGGGGCCAGCGGCCATCATCCCCCATCCTTGCTTGCCTGCCTCCCGCCCGTCCCACCCCCAGCCCCGCCAGACGGCTCGAACCACGAGCCCAGGCCAGCGGCACTCAACTGCTCCGAGAGCTGCCTGGACATGTCGGTCAGCCCCGACTGGATGCGCTCCTGAAGGCGCGCCCGTCTGCCGACCTTCCCCGACCACCTTGGAGGAGGAACGCGAAGACGAGGACGAAGAGGACGGAGGAGGGCGAGAGATCGTCGAAGGGGAGTAGATGGGTCGGGAGGCAACTCCTGCAAGGTCTCTTTACAAGAACGATTCAGGGCTGTTTGGCCCGAACACATCGCCATTCAGCCGGATCAGGATAGAAAAATTTAGCATTGGATTAAAACCGGCTGGGCCGGATTGAGTGGATTAGCCGGAAGTAGAACGGAATGTGCCAGATTTTCCTGGTTTCGACCACGGATATACCAGCACCGATGCTGAATTTACCTCTCAGGAGTTCCATCCTCGAATAAAAATGAGTTCACCGCTTCTCCGAGCAACGAACGCATACCAAACAATATCTCGGAAGAGCCCAAACAGTGGCTAACCCCCCACACACACTGCGACATGTGCTTGATGTTTGAATGCGCACATGTGGTCGCGTCCGTTTTGAAGCGTTGCCAACTTGTGGAACTCACACACCCATGTTGGCGGGCATATTATGACTCCTCTCGGGAGCCCTCGGGAAACCAACAGGGCCGATGTGACCCGTGCTTGCCCCGTGACCCAACAGGGCTGTGTGACCCCGTGTTGGCCGTAACCGCCGCTCCAATACGTAGACATAGCAAATTGGGACGCGGAACAAAAATGATGGCGCCACGTATGCGTGCGAATGTGTCCACCCGTCCCTGCCCGACCTCCTGTCCCCTCCTGCCCTCCTGCTTGCGGGGAAAATGATCCACATCGAAAAACCACAGCCCCAGAACCTGAAGCCCATCTCGCTGCTGCATTTACCCAACCGGATCGACCCGTGAAGGGCCTGGGGCCCGAAACGAAGCAAGATCGGCCGTTGTCAAACAAGAACCAAGGCCTCCCCTCGGATCAGTGATCGTCCTTCTCTGTCATCCTCCGACTCCTCCTGTTCCTCCTCCTCTCCCTTCTCATCCTCAAACTTGTCCTCCTCCTCATCCTCATCCTCACCCTCATCCTCATCACCCTCCTCCTCATCATCATAATCAGCATCGCCATCATCACCACCACCACCATAACCAGCAGCAGCCTCATCCTCATCCTGATCCTCCTCCTCCTCCTCCTCATCATCATCATCACCAACTTCTCTGATGCTGTACCCGTCTCTGTTCGCACGGTGAAGCACAACTCCGCTCAGTCTCGTGACAGCCGTGCGAAGCACAAATTATGATACCTATATCTATATATATATATACACATATGTATAAATAACATCAATACTCTACATAGTTAAAGGCTGGAGGGTGCCGAGTGCCAGAAGTGCGAGCCGAATAGCATCCAAAAACCAGGGAGGGAACAGGCATGCCTGTCGGGTGGGAAAAAAACAGAATTACTGAGGAGAGCAAACGCTCACATCTCTGATCAACCCCCTGCCCGTATACCTATCATCACCAACTTCTCTGTTTTTGTACCCGTCTATGTTCGCACGGAGAAGCACAAGCCCACTCAGTCTCGTGATGGCTGTGCGAAGCACTTTGATATATGTGTGCATATGAATCTATAGAAATCACTACTCACAAATACGCAAGAGTAGCGAAATGGTACAGGGCGGTGACGGGGGGGGAACGAAAGGGCTCACGTAAGCCAGCACGTCGAACACATGGACGAACAACATTTGATTTGATGCAAAACAGCCCTTGCCGCTTTTACCTAACAGCTCTTGCCGATAGGTTTCCAATAGTTTCTCAAAGGAGCATCATGACCCGGAGAGGCTGCCGCCGAAGCCGAAATCGCTTTGGACATCCTCGCAGAATCGCTCTTGGTGCTCCCAGAACTCCATTCCCGGGCCACATTTTGGATGCCCGGAGCCAACTGTAGGCCACTTCGTGCTTTTCGAACTCCCAGAACTCCACTCCCGGGGCACATTTTGGATGCCCGGAGCCCACTGTAGGCCACTTCGTGGTCTTCGATTTCCCAGGACTCCATTCCCGGGCCACATTTTGGATGCCCGGAGCCAACTGTAGGCCACTTCGTGTTCTTCAAGTTCCCAGAACTCCATTCCTGGGCATGATTTTGAATGCCCGGAGCCAGCTGTAGGCCACTTCGTGTTCTTCTAGTTCCCAGAACTATATTCCTGGGCCACATTTCGAATGCTGAGGCAGGCTGATGCTGCGGCTGAGGCAGGCTCAGGCTGAGGTGAGGCAGGCTGAGGCTGAGGCCGAGGCTGAAGGCAGACTGAGGCTGAGGCTGAAGCAGACTGAGGCTGAGGCTGAGGCAGGCTGAGGCTGAGGCTGAAGCAGGCTGATGGTGAGGCAGGCTGAGGCTGAGGCTGAGGCTGATGCAGGCTGAGGCTGAGGCAGGCTGAGGCTAAGGCTGAAGCAGGCTGAGGCTGAGGCTGAGGCAGGCTGAGGTTGAGGCAGGTTGAGGCTGAGGCTGAGGCTGAGGCAGGCCGAGGCTGAGGCTGTGACTGCGACTGCCGTTGCCGCTGCGACTGTCATCGCGAATTCGACTACGACTGCGAGAACAACAGAATTCGACAACTGGATTTTCATCTGAATCTTAAGGGGAATGCTTTCAGATATGCTTATACACATCGCTGTTAGGTTGCTTTGCCGGGATAATTTTTCTCTACGGATCCCGTACGAAAAAAACGGTGTCACCAAAGAGGGTGGCAAGCTTCGTGGCCAAGGCGCGTGGGTAGGCCACCGCTCGCCTGGTCCACTTAACACATGACGGGCCGGCGCCTGGAAATATGATGTGAGGCAGCTTACTGACTTTGCACGGCGCTGGTGGACGAGAACCGCACGCTCGTACGATGGAGTGATATGTCTGGAACCCCGAAGGACATGACGGATGTTGCCTTCCTCCACCCGGCGCCGTAGCCACACGCATGGAAAGTATTCAAGGAGACCTTTGGCTCCGCGAGGAGAGCCGTAAACTCGGGAAACGGCCAGAGCAAGCTCGACTGCGGGTTCTCGACGACGAAGGGTATGCCAAACTGCAGTGCCAACCGACAGGAAGAGGGATGTCTGTTGGATCAGGAGGGTAGCCTCGTCGACTGTATTCTGAGCTCGGCTACTGCCGTTGGCCAAGCCATAGGTATGTTCGCGCGACCGTGTGGCAGGGCGTCTTGCAAGACCACATGCAATACAGAGTGGTGCGAGAAGAAGGCCATAGCACACCACATTCACAATCAAAATGCGAAAACGATGCTGCGCAGCTTTCCTCGATAAATGTCCTTCCTTTCCCTGGGTGATATCGAAACTGCAACACTGATAACTCTGTTTCTGGACAGTCTTTGAGAGTTCCCCTCGGCCACCCGAAACTTTAATCGCAAATATACTCAGATTCTGGGGAGCGGTTTGTCGCCTCGGAGCTGGCCGACGCGCCGCGCCAGCTCGACCTGTAGGCTCTTCTCACTGGCTGGGCGGAAGCGACGGACGCCCTGGCTCAGGCCGTTGAACGCGTCCTGGATGAGCGCCCTCTTCTCGTATCTCCGCACGCTGGCCGTTGACCGCCATCCCCCGCGCTTCTGCACCTCGGACACGCTCGCGCGGTTCTCCGGGCGATCGGTGGGAGCACCAGCGCACTGGCTCACGTAGAGCACCAGCGCCCAGCGCTGCAGCACGAGCTCGCGGCGCACGTCCAGGCACTTTCCTCGCATCGGCAACGGGTCAAACTTCCAGGGGCGGCCAGGCGCGGGCCGGAGCGCCGCGCAATCGACTAACAACTTCGCTAGCCACTACTGTCCACCAGCAGGCTCTCGCCCACGTCGCCCATCGCGCCGGGCACTCCGTCCTCCGCTGGGCGCCGGGCGACGGCCAGATTGGTCGTGCGGTGCTGGGAAGTCGGCTTGAGGAACTGTCAGGGTCGGAGGAGGGCGAGACGCTCGCCAGGCAGTAGGCGCGCGGCCACCATCAGCAGCCAGCGCAGCGCGCACTCGACGCCGCACTTGCGCGTCAGGCCGGTCGCGATCACAGCCGCTGCGCACCGCGGGAGCAGCCGCCGAGCGCGGCTCGGCACATGCCGACGCCGTCCGCGGAGGGCCCTCGCGGCAGGGGCGCGACAGCATCCCCTCGACTGCCGCAGGCGGGCACGCAGTACTGCACCGCCGCCAGCAGCTTCTCGCCCGCCCCCGCTGCCTTCCCCGAGGAACATCCTGTCCATATGCTGGGCCCTCTTGGCGCCATGCACGGGCGGCGGCCCGGCGAGGGCGGTCATGTTCTGAGCCTGCGTGAACTTCTGAATGCAATCCGAGTACTGGGGCCTGGTCGTCGGCATCAGCGACGCCTGCTCCATTATGCTGCGCTGCTGGGTTGTGTCGAAGATCCCCATGCTTTCTCGAGCGATTGGCGGCCTTCGCCATCTCTAGGTTCTCCAGCTCGTTGGCCGCCATGGCCGCCGCTGCCTCCTGGCGGCCCAAGATGGGATGGCCTTTGCTGGGCCCCTGCGTCTGAACCAGGAGGCTCGGAGTCACCTGCAGCGCCTCTGCGGGAAGGCTGAGCTTGGGTCGACCATCGCGTCTGTCCCGAGGAGGTACAGGCGCGCGAGCTTGGGCCCGAGGGGCCGCCTGCTGCCCGCGACGGAGGCGGCTCCTCGTCGCTGGGCTGACCCGAGGAGCTCCCCGTCGAAGATGCGCCGGGGGTCCCGAGGGGGGCCGGCGATTCTCCGGCGCGGCAGCAGCGCGTCGCTTCACGCCGACGAGATGGCTTATCCGCCGGGTCGATCCGTCGGGGCCCACCTGCCCGCGAACCCTGTGCCCGCGGCGAATATCCAGGCGGCAGCTCGGCGACGCAGCGCGAGCAAGGTCGAATCTCGACACCGACCCTTCGACGAGGATAACATCTGCCCTGGGCTGTCTCCCAAGACCAAATGATTTTTGCGCCAGCGGGCGGCAGGGGCCGCTTCCGAAGCGCCCCCAGAAAACCCCGCGTCTCAGGAGCGCGGATGGCCCCCGGAGTCAAGAAGAGCTGAAAGTTGGCCCCCCAGGACAACGAACCTTTGAAGTCGTGGGGGGCCTTCGGGATCACAAGGTTCTCATGAGGCTCGGTTCTCCAGGTCGGGGCCCCTCTCTCCCCCCCTCGGTCCACGAGGGCGCGCCGGCGGGGTTGGTGGGCGAGGGGGTAATCGACCCGAATTGCCACCTTAATATCGCCATCTTTCGTGCCAGTGCGCAATCTGGCGGGCCTGGTCGACGTTGGCCAGGCCCTCCACCGCGGCGCGCCTCGAGGGCGCCGAAGGCGGACGCGCGCGGGTCCAGCGGCGACCCTAGATGTCTCCGCGCCAAGATCAATCGCCCCTGCACCACCTCCAACTCACGCTCGACGCTCGACCAGACGACACGAAGCTCCACGAAGCTAGAGCTCACGAAATCATGCGAGGCCCGCAGAGAGTTCGAGAGTTCCCGACGGAGTAAGGCCACGAAGGTAAAGTGGCCCACAAGACGTTCCAGCTGCTGGCTAATAATATGCACTCTCTTCCTGATCAGGACCTCTAGGGCCCGCGGCGGCTTCCAGTGGCGAGTCGACAACTCAGCGGCCCGCGCCGCCCCCCCCCCCCCCGCCCCGCCACCGCCGCCGCCCCGCCCGCCCCGCCCCGCCTCTTCAGCATCGTGACCCCCCACCAGCACGTCAGCAACACACAGCGAACAGAAGGCGCGCTGCTGCAAAGATGGAGGAGGTCGGAACCCGCAGGCACGCCAAGCTTCTTCAATGGAAGGACCCCGCTCAAGAGCGCGTTCGTGGACGCTCTGCACTACGCGCAAAGCCCACTTCCAGCCCGCGGGGGGGCACCTTGAGCAACGGGAACAACTTTGCGTCTGGGCCCACGGAGACGCCCTCTATGTTAGTCACACTTAGACACTTGGAGAAGATAGGGTCCAATCCAAAATAGTAGGATAGCCACTCGGGCACTTCACGCTGGCAAGACGCATTCTGTAGACCCACGTCCGAAAATATAGACCCCTCCCTGGCTCCACATCTACTTTGCAAGAGCTGGTCCCTGAGAGCAGATCTACAGCTGTTGCCTTGAAGTGTTAGTTAGCTCGTGCGCAGTCAAGGGTGATGACCAAAAAGGGCTGGACCTCGTCAGTCTTGTCTACTTACCCTAAAGATGTTACGCCTGAGACCGTCTTGCAATACTTCAGCAGACTTAGAAGGACTGCTCGAGAAAAGGAAATCCTTATACAGGAAAGGGGTGCCGTCGGCCGTTCCCAAATCACACGGCTCGTTCTTTCGCCGCAGACAGCGAGAGCCATGCCCCGCGCTGCAAAGTTCCGAGACATCCGATGGGGGGCGCGGTCAGAACATTCACCGGCTTGTTCCCGCAAGCGGGCCGACTCACAGCGCCTCGTGCATAGGGCTGTGCCGTAGCGCGGTCGGGCTCCGACACCCTGAAAGCTCTCGCAAGGCTTCCTGCGGATTCTAATTCAGGAGGGACAAGGACATGGTCCCGATGAAATTGCAAAACAAATCTGGAAACATGATCCGAAAGAGACTGATGGCCACCGCGCCCACCTGCGGGGTCGCTGTAGCCGGCCAGCAAATTCACAGCACTCATTGACTGAAGAGCCACGTTGCGACACGCGATGCGCCGCGCGAGCCGACGGCAGGTGCCTCGCGGAAAAAAAACGCCCTCACGGCGGGCGAGCGGCCCAGGGGCGGCCGGTGGGAACAGACCATCTCCAGGCTCAGCCACCACTGCCCGAATGTGGAGCGAGCCTCTAAGCGCAGCGCAGGGGCCGAGGCGCTCCCACGTGCTGCCGATCACCCCTCGTCGGTGCGATCGGCCTTGCCGCCGCCCTTCGTCTTGAGAGCGGCGGCCTCCTGCCTCCCCGTGCGGTGCTGTTTCAGCACATCCGTCTCCTTGCACTGCATGTCCGTCGCGTGCTTGGCCAGAACACGGCAGAGAGCCACCCCGCGTTTGAGGCCACCAGCACGGCACGGTCGCGGCCCAAGTGGTGTTCGAGGCCTTCCAGCTGCAACGAGCCCGTGGTCTCCTCGCACAGCTGGTACATCCGACTGATCCTCTTGATGCAACCGAGATTGGCGACGCCAGGCTGATCGTAGCAAGCATCCAGGTCTAGAGCAAGGCCGAGGAGGTCGTGCATTAGGCGCGCCGTGGTGGCACGCTCAATCCTGTGCTCAAGGAACCACTTCGTTTGCCTACTGTCGAACGTCCCACCGTGGCCGCGCTCGCACCTCATAAGCCACATCGTCGACCTCTCGCTCTCAAGCGGGAAATCCTCCATCGGCTCACCATGCCTACGGCCCACAAAATTGGCGAAATCACCCCACCGCCTGCCACCTGTGACGTAACGAACGGGGGACAGGATTCGAGCATCAAGAAGGCGATCAGCCTTGGCAGGCTTGCCGCCACGATCTCCGTCGGCTCTGCCAGCGCGAGGGGCCGGCATGGCAACCCCACCTTTCACATCCCGAGCGAAAGCGCGCACGTCGGGCGACAGCTTGATCAGGGCTCGGTCCCCTTCGACAACACCTGAGTCTTCCAGATGCACCTCCGCGGCCCCCTTCACGTCGCCCACGGCCTCGACTGCGACCCAAACGTCCGACTCGTCATCCCGATCCTCCACAGCGTCCTGGTCGGGGTCGGCGAAGGCCCGAGCTGCCGGGCTCTCGCCTCCAGCGCGGCCCCCGCGCGGGGGCGGCTCGGGCGGCAGGGCCAGAGAGGAGGAGGCGGCAAGCGGCTGCTTCCCCCGCACTCTCCTCACGGTTAAGTCGGGCCTGTCCCTCTACAGGAGGAAAATTCAAAAATAGTAAAAAATGGTCCGTGGACGATTTTTGACTATGTTTGAACATTTGTTGATAGTTGTTGGACTATTTCCCATTTGTCCTCCGAAATCCGCCTGTAGGGGGACATGCTCGACCTAACCTCACGGGCCCCGCCGACACCAGCCGCGCCCGGCTCCCCGCAGGACCGACGTACTCCACGGGGTGCGCGATGTCGGTGTGGCCGTCGCTCCTCAGGGCCAGCTGACAAGACTCCATCTGCCTCTCGAAACCCGACTCAGTCGGGCATGAGCTGAAACGATACAGTACAAGGCGCCCGCTGGAATCACATCCGTATCGCCCCCGAAGTCGTCAAGCAGCACGGCCCTCGAGGGTCCCGTCGAGCTGTCACGACAGAGGAGGTATTCCTCGTAGACATCTCCATCGGGTGTGAGAAAGAAACAAGTGCTTGAATCCGAACTCGACTACACGAAGTGGCGCTCATGCCACGCGTCATCGTCGTCGTAGAACACAGCAGCCAAGCTCCCTGGCACCAGCCTGCCGCAGAACTCCCCCGCCGTGACGCCGCTCCCGTCCCACAGCCGGAGACGAGCGGGGCGGCCCCGAGACGGACGTCCTGGAACCAGCGCCATGGCGATGACACCAGCTCCCGAACTTCGAGACCATGAGGGAAATCGAACGCCACCACAGGACCCAACAAACTCACCCCGACCCTCTGCAAGATGCCGTAACCATCGTACTCTGTCGGTTCTGGCACCTCGGCACAGACAGGACACAAAGGGAGCTGGAGGACAGTCGCTTGCCCCGCAGTGGAACACCTCGAGCTCTCGCACCAGGACGTAACACCTCTCGCCCGACTGCCTGGACGCCTCCTCCCTGTCGGCCCAGCTCGGAGCAGTGGGGGAGGCTGCTTGCCTCCATTGGTGAAGGATACTGTCCGCCAGGCGGTCGAATTGCCTCAAAGCTAGGACCCATCCAACCGTGGCCAATCTGCGGATGGGGGTTGCCACGAGAGTGGAGGGGTCCATTTGCTGCGTATCTTCGAGAGGACAAAAGACTACAGAGGAGGAGAGCAGACATTTACGCCTCTGATGAATCCCATGCCAGCATACCTGATCTCGTCCTCGTCCTCGTTCTCGTCTTCGTCGCCGTTCCCCTCCTCCAAGATGGCTGCCCCCCTCTCCTCCTCACCCTCGCCGATCTCAGGGCTGCCCCCCTCCCCTCCAGAGAATCGTTTATCCGATCCCCATCCACGCCCCTAGATGGGGATATAGGCCGTATCCTCCAGGTTTCGAGGGGTGTATCCCCAACTGAGGGGTAACTTGGCGGGGGTCTCGAAGGGGATGGGGATGGGGATGGGGGTCGGTTCAACGATACTCCCCTCCCGCTGCGCTCCTTGGAGGAACGAAAACAAACTGCACAAACACACAAACTGTTGGAGCTCTGTCCGGACCGCTTGGGGCGCCGGGCCTCCCTCCCCCTGGCGCGCGGCGCGCGCCGAGGGGCGGCGCCAGGGCGCCGCCGGGAGGGCCCAAGGAATCCGTGCGGAGCGCCGAAAGCTTGTCTTTCTGCCGTGGTGCTCTCCCTGGGCTCCTCCCCGGGGGCGGGGGAGTGCCAAAGGTGCCCCCGGCCCAAGGTGCCCCCTGCTCGCTGATCCACGCTGGGGCCCCACGGGCCCCGTGGGCCCCGTGGGGGGTGCTCTGGAGGCCGTCGGGGCCTCCCTGGAAATCCGGGGGGGCACGTTGGGCCAGGGGCACTTCTGGCGACACCCAGCCTGGGTCGTTTGGTGTTTCTTTCTTTTACCTAGCTGGGGACAGGGGCGGCGGAGGAGCGAGGGAGAGCTAGGGAAGAGAGCAAGTCAACAACAGCACTGGCCACGACCTGTTCACAACCGGAGGCTCCACGAGTCGGCGAACCCACTCTAGTAGAAGTCTAGGTGCTGCAAGGAGCGGAGCACGGTACCTCACAATAGCAGGCGACACCCGACCTGGGGGGAGCCCAGCGCCGATCCAAGTAATCCGGCCGGAGCTCCAAAAGTTTATGTTTATGCCGGTCTCTCTCCTTCTAAGGTTAAGTCGGGCGTGTCCCCCTACAGAAGATGTTCGACGAGAATTTTAACATATGTCTAAAATGCTCATGTTTTAAATGTTTTGTACAAAAAAACAAATTTAATCCCATACTACTTTTTTCTATGTTTGAATATCCCCCCTGTAGAGGGGCAGGCCCGACTTAATTCTAAGGAGGGCAGGCAGGAGGGCAGAGGGGGCAGCCCTGATACCGACGAGGACGGGGGGGAAACGGAGGCAGCCATCCTGGAGGAGGGGGGGCAGCGACGAGAACAAGGACGGGGACGAGGACGAGGATGAAGACGATGCTGCTCGACTCGACTCCTCCTGGGGGGGGGGGCTCCGACGTCTGCGACAGCCCCTGCGAGGCGTCGGACAGCCAGTCCGCGCCGCCGCCGCCGCCGCCAGGCGCGGCCTGCCGGAGGGCCCGCGCCCGCCGCCCCCGCGCACAGCCCCGAGGCGCTGCAGGTCGGGGGTCGGCGGCGAACCCGGGGGGCAGCGAGAAGCGAGAGGGAGCGGGGCCACAGCCACCACCAGAAGCAGGAGGGGGAGGGGGTCCTTTTCCTCCTCCTCCTCCTCCTCCTTCTCCTCCACCTCCTCCTCTTCCTCCTCCTCCCCCTCCTCCTCCTCCACCACCTCCTCCTCCTCCTCCTCCTCGTCCTCCTCCTCTTCCTCCACCTTCTGCCCCCCAAAAAACTTGTGGTGGTGGTGGTGGAAGACAGGCCCATCACCTTCTCTGAAAAGGCTCAAATAGTCCGCCCGGGCTGTCTGTAGAAGCTCGCGAGCCTGCCAGAAAAGGCGCAGGAGCTTCCGCAGAGGGCCGGGAGGGTTTGAGAGAAACCCGCCGCATTCTGAGAAGGCCTTTTCCTCCTCCATTCCCTCTCTCGCTCGCCGCCGACGGGGGGGGTAGCGGCGACGAGGGCGGGGAGATGTCCCCAGACATGATCGCGTGGAATCGGACAAATCACGGCGGGACGCTGTTTGCTGTGTTCGGCCTCCGGCTCGCCAGGCCCTGGGACCGTCAAAACCGCAGGGAACGGGTCGGGGCCTCCGGGGACCCCGCACTGGTTCGAGGGGAGAGGGAGGATGGGGGTGGAGGGGGCGAGGTTCGAGGGGAGAGGGAGAAGGGGAGGAAAGAGGGGGAGGGAGAGAGGGGAGAGGGAAGAGGGGAGGTGGAGGTTCGAGGGAGGGAGGAGGGGGGGGTGGGTGGGTGGGGTGGGGGTGGGGGGGGGGGGGCGAGGTTCGAGGTTCGACGCTGGAACGAGGGAGGGCCCCAGACCATACAAAACGCCCCAGGGGGGGGGGGGGGGGGCAAGAAAGCTGCCCCCGTGGGAGGGCGCACGTGCCGAGAGAGTCGCGCCGGGGGAGGCGCCCGGCGGAGCCCGGGGGGAGGAAAGGGCGGCCGCGGCGCGCGCCTTGGGCCAGGAAGCCCCACGCAGGGGCAAGAGGGAGACGAGCCTGCCAACCGCGCGCCTCCAGCGCCGCAGGATCCGGCACATCTGGAGCCGAAGGAACGCGAGCTGGACCGCCCAGGCGCCCGCTGCTGCCTCGCAGAGGTACCGGCTCGGCAGCCTGCTTTGTCGAGAGCCGGTATCGGTACCTTCGTCTGCCCTGACCGGGCGAGGGTCGCAGGGAGGAGGCGAAGTGTGCGAGTGCGAAGACGCCGCGAAGACACTGGGCGATCTTGGTCGTCGCGAGGTCCGAAAGCAAAGCCTGACGCGCGGCATCGCAACGCGCACCGCGAATTCATAAGCCCGAAACGTGGCACCTGAAGACTGGTGCACGCGAGGACAGCGAGCGCCGCTAGGAACACTTCGGCACCCGATGTTGCCCTGAGAAGGCACGTGAACGCAGCCGCTCGCGCCGCCTGCGCACGCGCTCGAAGCCGAGAGTTGCCATGGGCGGCGGGGGCCCGGGAAGGAACAAACAAATGCACGCGACAGAAAGTGAAGATGTCAAGACTAGAACCTGGTTTCGGATAGCGCTGTCGGAAGGCATGCGATTGCAGCGGCCAGCCGAGGCCTTAGTCGCGGCACAGGCCAATCCACGATAGGCGACCACATGAAGCGAAAACAGCACAACACACAACAGCACGAGTCATCATTTTCGCGCCTCCTCTTCCACGTCTTCTCTGGTCAAGCAGACCTTCCCTTCCCGGCCTAGCGCGGCCGGCCCGCGCAAGCCTTGAAGGAGGCACTCGCAAGATGGCCCAGCGACGGCCAGCGGCAAGGGCGAGGGCAGGAGGAGGAAGCCCCGTCAAAGCGAAGCGTCGAGCTCCAGCGGAACCCCGCGAGACGGATCTTTATTCGACGCTAGAACCAAAAACACAAGGGTACCAATCGTGATATCACCTCGCGAACGACCCAGGGTTGCACGCGCGCGGCGACGACGCCCAGGACCGCCCATTACAAGACGCACGGCATCAAGGACCCGCAGTCAAAACACACGTGCGCGGCAGAGGGGTCACGGAGGAGAGAACAGACAGCGCGGCGCTCTCGGGGCTGCTGAGGGGGGTGAGACGCGGGCGCAGAACAGCGCCGCACACTCGACGCCGTAGCGCTCTGCGCTCTGCGCTCTGAGGCGTGGCTGCGCCGTGCGCTGCGTGACTGGACGGCGCCGCTCGCGTGGACGCTCGCCGTGCCTTCAGAACCGTTTGTCGACAGCTGCGAGGCAGCGGCGCCGCGCTGCGGCCGCGGACGCAGGGCTCTCCCACTTCAGTGGCAAGTCGACTGCAAACTCGCCTGCAAGGGCCGTCTTCACTCATGCAGGAAAATGCCGAAGCCAAGCTCGCGCGCGGCAGCCTCTTTCCTGCGGCGCTCCGCGCAAGTGCCGAAAATCCGGAGGCGCGCGGCCGGGTCGGCCAGCGGCGCTCGGGACGAAAAAGTGAAGCCTGGAACGCGGATCATGAGCAGGTTGTCCGACGTCGCCGCCCTGATAGCACGACGTGCAAGTGGGGCCAGAACCCGCCCGCGTCGCCCGCGCCCACGTACCTGGCGTCGACGACGACGCTCTCGTGCATGGCCCGGCCCTGGCGAGCTTTCAACGCGAGCGCCTCGGCGCGGGAGATCAGCAGGCCCGCGCGCGTCACTCTGCGCCCGCGGAAGTCGAACGGGCTCGACGTCCGCGGCTCGATGAAAACGAAGAACAGCCGCTCCGCATCCGAAGCGTCGACCCCCTCTGCGCGCTCTGCGGGCCGGTCGCGGAGAAGCGCGGCCCTGCGCTTGTCCACGCGGGCCCGCGCGCCGAGGGGCAAGTGGCGCAGGTGCGCGGATCGGTCCTCGGCCATCGCGCGCTCTGCCTCGTCCTCGCCTCGAAGGTTGGCGGCCGCGCGCGCGATCTCGCCCTCGGCGTCCTCGACCAGTTTCCGCTTCGAGGCCCAGGTGCTCCAACAGACGAGTTCGCATGCCCGAATGCAGTGGCGACATCCCGCGCGCGACGCTGGCCATGCCCAGGTTGATCTGATTCAGCAGCCTCGCGGCCAGGTCCACAGGCAACCGGGGCGAGAACGCGTCGGCGGCCTCCGCGAGGTAGAGGACCTACCCCAGAGTCCGGGCGTCTCTGCATGCGCGCAATATCGTCCAGTGAGCCGCCCTGTCCCAATACCACGCGAACATGTGCCCTCTCTGGAACCGCTCCTCGGTCAGTTTCGGGTCGTCCGTCCTCAGTTGTACGCGTGTCCACGCATCGGCGACGCTGCCTGGTGGTACCTCGGCTTTCGCGTGAAGACCCTCGGCTCCGCGAGGCGCGGCTGGAGGCGGTTGATGGCCTGGAGCTCGAAGCAGAGGAGCGCGTCGCAACTCGCGACTGTTGCGCGGTTCGCAACCCGCCAGGAAGCCGCGAGGTCTCGGCTGGGTCCGTTTACAACTCCACTCCGCTAGACTTCCCAGGAGCCCGCGAACGCGTCGACTCTTGTGCGCGTCGCAGCCCCCCAGGGAGCCGCGAGGTCTCGGCTGGGTCCGTCGACAACTCCACCCCGCAAGACCTCCCAGGAGCCCACGAAAGCGGCAAAACTGACCGACTTCGCAGCCCACCCGGGGGCCGCGAGGTCCCGGCTGGATATGTTTACAACTTGGAACCGCGAGGTCTCGGCTGGATCCGCGTGCAACTCCACCCCGCGAGACCTCCAAAGAGCTCACGGAAATGGCCACTTCGCAACCCACCAGGGAGCCGCGAGGTCTCGGCTGCATCTGAGCACAATTCCACTCTGCTGGACCTCCCAGGAGCTCACGAAACTGGCGACAATTGCGCACTTCGCAACCCGCCAGGAAGCCGCAAGGTCTCGGCTGGGTCCGTTTACAAATCTACTCTGCTGGACCTCCCAAGTGCTGGCGAAAACGGCGACAATTACGCACGTCGCAGCACAACTTGGAACCGCGAGGTCTCGGCTGGATCCGCGTGCAACTCCACCCCGCGAGACCTCCAAAGAGCTCACGGAAATGGCCACTTCGCAACCCACCAGGGAGCCGCGAGGTCTCGGCTGCATCTGAGCACAATTCCACTCTGCTGGACCTCCCAGGAGCTCACGAAACTGGCGACAATTGCGCACTTCGCAACCCGCCAGGAAGCCGCAAGGTCTCGGCTGGGTCCGTTTACAAATCTACTCTGCTGGACCTCCCAAGTGCTGGCGAAAACGGCGACAATTACGCACGTCGCAGCACAACTTGGAACCGCGAGGTCTCGGCTGGATCCGCGTGCAACTCCACCCCGCGAGACCTCCAAAGAGCTCAAGGAAATGACCACTTCGCAACCCACCAGGGAGCTGCGAGGTCTCGGCTGCATCTGAGCACAATTCCACTCCGCTGAACCTCCCAGGAGCTCACGAAGGCGGCGACAGTTGCACACGACGCGGCCCACCAGAGATCAGCGTCATCTCGGCTGGATATGTTTACAACTCCACTCCGCCGAACCTCCCAGCCGCGAGGTCTCGGCTGGATCTGCGTACAACTCCACTCCGCAAGACCTCCCAGGAGCCCACGAAACTGGCGACAATGACGCCCATCGCAACCCACCAGGGAGCCGCGAGGTCTCGACAGGATCTGCTTACAACGCCACTCCGCTGGACCTCCAGGAGCCCACGAACATGTCGACAGTTGCGCACTTCGCCACCCACCAGGCAGCCGCGAGGTCTCGGCTGGATCTGTGTACAACTCTGCTCCGCTAAACCTCCCAGGAAACAACGAAAGTGGCGACAGTTGCGCGCGTCGCAGCCCACCAGGGAGCCGCGAGGTCTCGGCTGGATATGTTTAAGATTCCACTCTGCTGGACCTCCCAGGAGCCCGCGAAAGTCGCGAAACTTACCCACTTCGCAGCCCACGGAGCCGCGAGATCTCGGCAGGATCGGTTTGCAACTCCACTCCGCTGGACCTCCCAGGAGCCCACGAACATGTCGACAATCGCGCACTTTGCAACCCACGA